CGAAGCAAGTCTTTGGCCTGGCTCCTCCATTGTTCCCACCTCTTTTCATAACTGAGGCTATAACTTGGCCCATAATGTGATGACTATCTATGTCCCGACATATGCGTATATAGTCATTAAGACTTTTGGCCTTATGAGGACGTAGAGCCTCTTTACAATACTTGTTTGCATTTTCAAATGCCAGTTGTTTAACTATGGCCATGGCATTTTCAACATCACCAAAAATTTGATAAGCCAGCCCTAGGAGGCGGTCTGCAAATTCTGAATAGGGCTCAGATGGTCCCTGCAATACCTTAGACAGCTGGGCAGGACTTTCCATGCTCTAGTAGCAGCAACATCAATTTGTGCATAGACCGCTGGGTCAAAAAGAATGAGCTGCAAGGGTAGCATATTGCCCAGAGCCTGTGAGCATATCTAAATTCCTAGCAGGAAATCCGGCAGCAGCATTGCTTTGGGAGGTTTCCTTGTAAAATTCTTGAAATTCGCCTCTCCAGAGCAAATAGTCACCCCCACTCAGTGCAGCTCTACAGAGCTGCATCCAATCACTAGGGGTGAAATTTAACACTGCGAAGGACTCAAAAATTGTCTGAGTAAAAGGAGCATGGGAACCATAAACAGTGACAGCCTCTTTAAGATGTCTTATATCCTTAAAATTTAATGGGCTGTGCTCCCTAACCCTGTTATCCTGAGGATCCACTGTCTCAATCACTGGAAACACTTGTCTTTCCTTTTCTAACACTTCTACCTTGGTTATTAAATCTTTGACCTCTTCCTCTAACCCTCGAGGTGCAGAGGCCCCACTAAAGGAATCACAAAAGGGATTGTGCCGTGGCAGATGGCATATGCGCTCATCAGCTTCAGTTTCTGATTCCAAAGTATCCTCTTCATCAGTTACAGTAGGACTATCATCATCTCCTAGTTGGGATCCCTCTTGTACCCTGATAGATTGCACAGATTCTAAATCTTGTACTTCCTCAAACGTCCTATTCATCTCTGCCATTTTTTTCTTTTACTTTATGGCAATGAATTCTTTAGCTGTCTTGTTTTAATACTGGTGCCCTGTCTTTTCAATAGGGCCACTAATTGCCCACTGAGCATTTCCTTAGAGTTACTGGCACCCATCCTTCAATACACCCTCATTCACTTGCTTTGCTGGCCAGCTTTCGAGGGCCATCTCTTAGGTGATCCTTTCTTTCCAGATCTTGGTGGGACCTCCACTTGTAGTGCCGGGGCTACAATCTGTTCCATGAATTGGGCCAAGGCCTAGAGATTGAAATAAAGACAAGACAGCAGGTCATTCATTCAATGGCAATGTCAGAACGCCAAATACCGAATGCTGTTTATTGAGGGGGATGGAACAGGCTTAAATACTGACTTACAGAACAGTGGAAAATTACAGGAACTTTAGGCTTAGCTCCTCCCCAAGAGGTGTGTGTTGTCACGAGGTATGTTGTCAAAAGGTGTATGTTACCAAAATGGGAAGAGTACCAACAACAGCTTTGGGGCAAGGAGTTCCAGCCAACAGCTTCAGGCTTGCTCAAGCTGCCTGGGGGGGAGGGGGGTTCTGGGCAGGGGCCTACAGGATCTTTCCTACATCTACTTGCCTATTGATTATTCCTACATTAAAGCCAAAATAGAATGAATGTAATGCTTCTTTTTTTCTTTTTTTAAAAACAATCACACTATGTAGCTGGCTTAGAACTCAGTAAGTAGACCCTAGCCTTGAACTCACAGAGATCCACCTGCTTCTGCTTCTGCCTGCCAGTGTTAGAATAAAGGTAGTGTCACCATACCTGGCTAATGATTTTCTTTTCTTTCTTTCCTTCTTTCTTTCTTTCTTTCTCTTCTTTTTTCTTTTTGTTTTTCAAGACAGGATTTCTCTGTGTAGCTTTGGAGCCTGTCCTGGAACTTACTTTGTAGACCATAGACCAGGCTGGTCTTGAACTTACAGAGATCCTCCTGCCTCTGCTTCCCAAGTGCTAGTGTAAGAATGAAAAAATACAGCCTAACTCTCCAGTGACCCCAGGAAGATAGAAGTTTAAACCTTAAATTCCAGACTCTGCCCTCAGCCAGTAAATAGGCAAAAGGTCACATTCTTTGCTGTACTCATAGGACCTGTGAGTACCTGAGCTTTGTCGCCCCACCCAGAAACCCGCTGGAAAGCAAACCTCCGGGGCTATAGGAAACTGATTGGTCTATAAAGCGCAGGCTTGGATGGTTTAAATTGATTGGTCTGTACCGCACAGGGTCTGGATGCTTTGAGATGATTGGTTTAAGATGCACGGGCTTTGTTGTAATCCTATAAAATCTATTTTACTTCCACCCTTGTGGTCCTTAGTCCTCTGCCCCTGTGTGGTACATGACTATGGACCCCAATGCACTTGGAATATAAAAAAAACCTCATGCTTTTACATCAAGACCACTTCTCGTGAGTGATTTGGGGGGTGCCTTTCCTGAGTGGGGAGCATGAAGGTCCTCGCTCTGCCGGTCTTTCACTAGAACTAAAGGTATGCACCACCACTGCCCATGGAAGTACTTTTTTTTAAGGTGTGTTGTGGGGGGAGTGGAAAGATGGCTTAACAGGTAAAGACTGAGTTTGATCCCTGGGTACTGACCCTCACAAGTTAAACTCCAACCTTTACACATGTACAGTTCCCATGACCAAATAAATAAATAGAACAAAAGCTCCAGGGAAACAAACATTTCAAGAAAATAAAATTTCAGGCTGGGGAGATGGCTCAGCAGTTAAAAGTACTGGCTGTTCTTCCAGAGGACCTTAGTTCATTTCCCAGGTACCACATGGCAGTTCACAACCATTTCTTTCTTTCTTTCTTTTTTTTTTTTTTTGAGACAGGGTTTCTCTGTATTGCATTGGAGCCTGTCCTGGAACTAGCTCTAGCTCTGTAGACCAGGCTGGTCTTGAACCCACAGAGATTCTCCTGCCCCTGCCTCCTGAGTGCTGGCTGGTACTAAAGGCCTGTGTCACTAACACCTGGCTCACAACCATTTCTATAATGGGAATCTTCTGGCATGCAGGCAGAGTACATAAGATACATAAATAAATACATTAGGTAAATGAATCTAGAGACAAAATTATATAATCCCAGCAAACAGTTGGCAAAAGCAGGATAGCTGCCACACATTAAAGGCTACTGGGTCATCAGAGCAAGTTGTAGACCACCCAGGGCTACAGAGTGAGACAACTGTCTTGAACAAAAAAAAGTGTAGAGTTCAATGGTTGTATGTGGCGATAATATTGTTTGTGATCTAACACAGTCAGTCACAGAAGATCAGGATACAAAGCCAGCCATACTTGTCAGCCATAGAGGCCGGGCAGAGGTGGCACACACTTTTAACCCCAGGACTCAGGAGACAGGCAGATGGACCTCTGCAAGTTCAAGGCTACCCAGGGCTACATGAGAGTGAATCAGTCTAAAAGAGAAACAGCTCACACCTTTACTCCCAGCACTAGAGAAGTATATAAGACAGGAGCAGGGACTCAGATTCTGGCAATTAGTCTCCTGCTACGTTGAGGATAGGCTCTCCCAGCCTTAGTAAAATTAAGAGCTCTCTGGTGGCTTGGTTGCTTTGCTTTCCTAATCTTCTGCTTGAAACCCAATATCAGTATCTCTGATTATTATTATTATTATTACTTGTGCTGCAATCATAAGTATATAATTAGCAAAGATTACAGACAACTATCAATTCCAGAATAGTTCACCCCTTCAAAGAAACTCTGTGCCCAATAAGCACTCTTCTAACTATGGCAGTCTAGCCAAACAGCCAGTTTCTGGATCAGAAACTGTCAAGAGCAGTGGTTCTCAACCTTCCTGATGCATTGACCCTTTAATATAGTTCTTAATGTGGTGACCCCCCCATCATAAAATTATTTTCATTGCTACTTCAAAACTGTAATTTTGCTACTGTTATGACTCATAATGTAAATATCTGATGAGACCCCAAAGGGGTTTCAACCATACGTTTAAAACCACAGGTTGAAAATCTATGAAGTGAATTCCAGGACAGCTCATACTACACAGAGAGACCTTATCTCAAAGAACAAAACAAAACCCTTATTGCTCGATGGGCTTGGTGGTGCACACCTGTAATCCCAGCACTTGAGAGACTCAAGCAGGACTACCACCAGTTGGAGGCTGCAAAGCCAATACCAGGCTATCTAGGATTACATAGTTGGATTTTCTCAAAAATAACATTGGTTTGAACAGATGGCTCCGGATTAAGAGTACATTGTGCTCTTGAAGGTCTGTGTTCGAGTTCATTCCCAGTACGTATGTCAGGAGGCTCAGGCCTGAAACTCAGGTCCAGGGCATTGGCCTATGCCACCTCTTGAGTCTGCACCACCCACAGACACATACACATAATTGAAAAACAAAAACAAGTCTTCAAAAATAACAACGAAGCAAAACCAAAGCTTGTTAAACCCATGACGGTGTTCTCTTGTTTTCTAAGATTTATATTCAGGGCTTTTGTATTTCTTTCGTGAATCGTTTTGAGTTGATGTTATATACAGTGCCCAGCACTTTTTACGATTCCCCTGGCTTTTTGCTCAAAGAGAAAGGATGGGAAGATTACCAAAGGCTTCAGTCCCCTGTCCCTAGATTTCAGGAAATATTTTCCTTTCCGGGATGGATTGGGGGTTTGGGCGGGGTGGGGTGGGGGAGGTGAGGGGATGGTGTGTGTGTGTGTGTGTGTGTGTGTGAGAGAGAGAGAGAGAGAGAGAGAGAGAGAGAGAGAGAGAGAGAGAGAGAGAGAGAGAGAGAGAGAGAGAGAGAGAGAGAGAGAGAGAGTGGGGGTGGGGAAATTCTTTCTTGGGCGCTCTCCACAGTACTACAACTCCCAGCAGGCACCGCGCGGGCCAGCCTGTCACGGAGGGGAAAACCTGGGCTGCCGTTGGTTCTAAGGCAGAGCGGGGCCAGAGAGACTCTGGTTCCTGGACTCGCTCCCACTAACCGAGTCTCACTATTTTGGCCCCTGCGAAGGCCCACAGTCAATCCCTGGCCTGAGGCTGGTGGGTCTTCCCACCTCGTTGTTCCGGGTTTCTTTTTAGTTTCCCGCGGGAACCGACTCTTGAAGAGAACCAACCGCGGCCAAGAGTTTTTGCAGCCTGGCCAACCAGAGGCGCGGTGGGCGGTGGCGGGACAGAGTGTTGATCCTGAGAGTCCGCTGGCTGCTACCTGGAGGGGCGTCCGGCGCCCAAGTGGGCATCCTCCTTCTGGCGTGAGGCATTGGCGGGACCAGCATCACCCATCAGAAGACCTCTTCGTTTAACGGGGCTCAACCTCGGCGACAATGTCCAGCCAGATCATGTCAGCCCTACCCCAAACATCTTCTAGTAGCCTGGACTTGTGGAGGGAAAAGAATGTCCGGCTCGTTGAACAGGCTAGGGTAAGATGGTTGCTGGGACCCTCGCCCTGTATCCTCAAGATCTCAGAAAGCGGGTTTACAGTAATTTCATCCTAGCCTAGGAGCAGAACTTGATCTCTATTCAAAAAACCCGACGTGACTGGAAAATGTGTCCCTCCCTTGTCTACTACGAGGGAGGACTGATTCGCGGCTTCCTAATTTCAGAAGCTGACTGGGGATTCTCGGCTGTCTCTGAGGCGACAGCAGTTGGCTCAAGACACACTGGAAGGGTTTAGGGAGCTCCTCTTCACTTTGCAAGGTAAGAAAGAGCGTCCAGGAGGCTCATTTCCTCTCCTCAGCAGCCAAAAAGATCAGCTTCTTTTACGTGCTTCTGGGATTGTGGTGTTTATTCTGAGTGTTAGGAAGTCCTGTTTTGTCTGGTGTTCTGTATTGTACAGATGATGAAAGATAGGTCACTCCAAGATGAACTTTAGGCCCTTTGCAGCAGGGAGGTCCAGCCTCTGATGGACTGAGCCTTGAACACAGCCGTGCAAAGGCGTTATTTGTTGACTGTTCATTAAAGTTACGTTTTGGGTAAAATGAGTTCCTCCATACCAAAGCCACTGATCTAGTTTGTATGCTCTTCCAAAGGAAAGCCTCACACCCTTGCCAGTTTAGTCCTTATTGTGCACTGTTTACAGTGCCCAATAATGCCAGGTGTGCTATGGCTTCCCCCAATAAGGCTTTATCTTTACCATCATATGGAATCAGGTCCCCAGCACTGTGTATACCTGGACTGGCACAGATGGTGGACACAGGCCTGAGGCTGCATCATGCAGGCTGCTCAGTCTTTGTGACCAAAGTCATGCAAAGGCTGTAAATCTCTCTCAGAGAAACAGCTCTGTAGATAACAGGAAGCAATCACTGTTTTCTGCAGTGACTTCTTCAAGATCTAAATACTTCTAGACAGCAACTACTTTATTCTGATGTTTACCCTAGATACAGTGATTCTACCATCTTTCCTCTATACTGTTTAAAGCACTGAAGAGACAAGGAATGGAATTATCTTTCATAAGTGAATTCCCCCTCACCTTACACACACACACACACACACACAGCAACATTTCAAGGAGGAATTTTCAGATTTCGAGAACTTTTTGTTCTTTCCAAGTTGTCTGAGCAACCATCTTGGTTGGAGTAGGGTTGATCTCTGGGTTGTTAACTATTTGGGCTCCATTTCATGGGACAGCTTGTGAGACCAGCATCTGTTGCTCCAGGGCTCCCTGCCGCTGTTCCTGCTCTCCCCTTGGAGCTGAGTGTCATCTGTAATTACATAATCCTGAGGACTAGCCTGGCCCAGGGTTTCCCTGAAGACCTTACCCAGGATGTTCAAAGGGGCCTAGAGAGAGGTAAGGCCTCCCACACTCCTGGCAGTTCCAGTCTGGATTTCGGGGTGAGGCTGGGGCGGGGGGTGGGGGGTGAGAGGCACAAACCCTCCACTGAGACAGACGTCCTTTTCTAGTCCCCTGTGTGTTCCTCAGACCAGGTGTATTGCTGTAATCTTTGAGATTTTAAAGAAAGGAAAAGCCAGAGAGTATGGGGAGATGAGAGAAGGATGTGTATGTGATTTACAGTGCTGGAGACCCAGAGTCAGCTGGAGCCCAAGTCACAGCAGGGACTCCAGGAGCTGTGGCACTCTGTGCTCTCTGCCTCCTCCCTCCTGCCGGAGCTGCTACCTGCCTTACACTGCCTGGCCAGCCTTCAAGCTATCCTGTGGATGAGTACTGACCACCTGGAGGACCTGGCCTTGCTGTTGCAAACCCTGAGTGGCAGCCAGGTAACCAGCGAAGTGCAGATGAACATGCCTGTCCTTCTCTCTTCCCCATAGCTGCAGTATTTTACCTAGGGTTTTAGACATGCTAGGCAAGCACTCTACCACTGAGAGACATTTTCTGTCCCCTTCTGCTCACTTTTTAAGAAAATTTATTTTTATGTGTATAAGTGTTTGACTTAGACGTATATATGTGTACTATGCTCATGCCTGGTACCCATGGAGGTGAGAAGAGGTGGTCAGACCCCCTGGAGCTGGAGTTACAGATAGTTGTGAGACACCAAGTAGATGCTGGGTCCTCTGTAAGAACAAATGCTCTCAACTACTGAGCTATCTCTCCAGTCACCACCCCTGCCCCCTTCTCTCCACACACTCTGTTTTGGAGACATAGCCTTAGCTCTCAAGGTAGAGCATGCTGGATTCAAACTCAGAAAGATACACCAGCCTCTGCCCCCTGAGTGCTGGGATTAGAGAAGTGCACCTCTGTGACAGGTCGCCAACTTCTTTTTTGAGACAGGCTTACTGTGTACCCAGGCTGCAAATTGAACTGCAGCTCTTCTTTCCTCAGCCTCTCCAGTGCTGAGATTTACACCCAGCTCTCAACTCTCATTGCTATTTAATTGGAGATAGATAGAACCTTAATAAGTTGTCCGGTCTAGCCCTGAACTTACTCTGTAGCCAAGACTACTTTGTAGCTCAGGTTCAAGATTTTGGACCTGTGATCCTTCTTGCCTTAGCTTCTAGAGCAGTGGTTCTCAACCTGTGGGTTGTGACCTCTTTGAGCCCTGGATGACACTTTCACAGGGTCGCCTAAGACCATCAGAAACACAGATATTAACATCATGATTCATAACAATAGCACAATTGCAGGTATAAAGTAGCAGTGAAATAATTTTATGGTGTGTATGTGTGTGGGGGGCGTCACCCCGGCACCAGGAACTGCATTAAAGGGTCCCAGCATTAGGAAGATTGAGAACCACTGCTATAGAGGCTGAGTCACCATGGTAACAGGCCTGTACCACCATTCTTAGCATACAGCACCATTATATGCTGGGAAGGTTGCTATGATGGTTGGCAAAACAACAACAAACCAAAAACAAAGAAGCAAAGCCAGTATTTTTGAGTGACCTTCCTCTGGTTAGCTTCTCATTGGGGGATTTTCAAAATAGCTTAATAAATCCAAGTCAGTATAAAGCTCTTGTGACTGCTAAAGCTACCTCCCAGCCTCAAGTCCTCTCATAATAACCCATTCCTTGTCCCATGTTCACCTGGACATATGAGTGACAGGGGACTTCAGTCAGCACTTCTAGGATTTTTCTTCCTGTCCACATCATTGCTCCATAGTTATCTTTCTCTTATAATGGGGGAACAGTAATCAGAAGGACTTTTGGGCTCAAAGACTGGGTGGGATAGACTGACAGGAGAAGATGGGATGCTTAGAGGATTAGAACCTCTGACTGTTCTCTCTCTCCAGACTGAGACCTCTGAGGATCTGCTAATACTGCTAAAATCCTGGAGCCCTTCCGCTGAGAAGTCAGATGCCCCATTGATTCTGCAGGATGCTGAGGATCTGAGGGATGTCCTTTTGACTACACTTGCCTACCGCCAAGGTCTAGCATCCCTTCTTTCCCTAAGGGGGTCCTCTAGGCTTATGCTCTCTGTATCTCCATGGAGTTCCTCTAGGTTCTTGTTTCCCATCATGCTTCCTGCCTTACAAGCTTTCCTAATCCTATATACCATAATTGCCCCCAGGTCTCCAGGAGCTAATCACAGGGAGCCTACCCCGAGCACTGAACAGGCTGCATGAAGCAGCCTCAGGCGTGTGTCCACCATCTGTGTTAGTCCAGGTGTACACAGCACTGGGGACCTGTTTCCGTAAGATGGTAAAGATAAAGCCTTAGGCATGGGGAAGCCATAGCATCGGCATCATGCCTTTGAGGGTAGCTGAGGCCTGCATCTTTCTATTTCATACAGGGAAATCCACAGAGAGCATTGCTCTACTTGACTGCAGCCTTGAAGGTGGGTACAACCTGTGCCCTTCCGCTTCTGGAGGCTTCTAGAATATATCGGCAACTAGGAGACACTGCAGCAGAGCTGGAGAGTTTAGAGTTGCTGGTTGAGGTGAGGAGCTTCCAGGTAGGGACACCTTGTGGAGGACTGCTCATGTGCTTGTGTTGGGGTGACTTGTCAAGACAGAAGCACACAGTCTGGCAGTGGTGGCACACGCCTTTAATTCCAGCACACAGGAGGCAGAGACAGGGGGATCTCTGTGAGTTTGAGGCTAGCCTGGTCTACAGAGCTAGTTCCAGGGCAGGTTCCAAAGCTCCACAGAGAAACGCTGTCTCGAAAAACCAACCAACCAACCAACCAAACAAACAAATAAAAAACCCCAAAAACAAACAAGTACACAGATGTATGGTTCTCAAAGACTTAAATTTTTTCTGTTCTTTTTTAGGCCTTGAGTGCCACTCATAGTTCAACGCTCAAACTTCATATTGAGGTAGAATTGCTACTTCCACAACCTGACCCAGCCTCTCCTCTGCATTGTGGCACACAGAGCCAGGCCAAGCGCCTGCTAGCAAGTCGGTGTCTACAGACAGGGAGGTGAGTCTCCCTACGCTGAACCCCTCTTCCTCTCTTTTGCTGGGCATGTGATTCTCTCTAAAATTTTATTTATTTTTGGAATGTGTGGTATACCTGTGTGGCAGGGTTGAAGGAGATTCCACTTGGCTATTTTGGGGTGTGTGAAAGCTAGAGATCGATGTTAGGTATCTTCTTCTATTGTTATCTACTGTAATTTTTGAGACAGGATCTCTCAGTGAACCTGGAGCTCACTAGTTTTGGCTAGACTGACTGGCCAGTGAAGCCGTGTGATTTGCCTATCCCTTACTCCTCTCTCACCCCCCAATGCTGCGATTAAAAATGATGTATTGTAGTCTGGTGGTGGCAGTGCATGCCTTTAATCTCAACACTTGGGAGGCAGAGTCAAGTGAAATTTTGAGTTCAAGGCCAGCCTGGTTTACAGAGTGAGTTCCAGGACAATAGGTTTTACAGAGAAACCCTGCCTCAGAAACAAACAAACAAAATGTATTGCTGTACTGCTTTGTTTTTGTTTGTTTTGTTTTATTTTGTTTCTCAAGACAGTGTCTCCCTGTGTAGCTTTGGAGCCTGTCCTGGAGTCTGTAGATCAGGTTGGCATCAAACTCACGGCAATTCTCCTGCCTCTGCCTCCTGAGTGCTAGGATTAAAGGCATGCACCACCATCACCTGGCTGTACTGTTTTTTTTTTTTTACAAGAGTATTGGAGCTCTAAATTTATCGTGTTTGCATAACAAGCACTTTTTATCATCCTCAACCACATTCCCAGAACCCATTTTTCTCTTGTGTGATTGCTTATTCCTGTGATTGAAGCATTTAGCTTCCTGCCTTTAAAGTGGGACCTTAATGGAGAAGTCATCATCCTGATAGTAACGTCTTCTATTTGAAATGCTGAAGTGTCCTCACCCATCCATCCTGAAAATGGATAGATCCATAGTGAGCCATGGTTGGCGCTCCTAAACCTGCTCCCTGCTTTACACTTCAGGGCCAAGGGCATCCCTCCATTAGCCAAGAGAGTATTCTCACTGGAACCTTTATGGGGGGACAGGGTCGTTGGTGAAGTGAAACTCAAAGGGCTGACTGACTTTCCAGGGCAGAAGATGCTGCGGAACATTACTTGGACCTGCTAGCTATGTTGCTGGGTGGCTCAGAACCAAGGGTAGGTGTGTCTTAAGGTTCTCTGTAGTTGAGTGGGTGGTTTGGGACCTCCCCTGCCTTCATTGGTCTTCCTGGGGGACAAATTCTCTCTTTGTGGTACTGGAGCCTGGTGGTAAGCTCAGGGATGGTGGCTCATGCCACTTCAAGACACTGCCCCCCTTTTCTCCACCGCAGTCCTCCCCACCCACCTCTTCTCCAGGGCCTTGTATACCAGAGTTGTGTCTGGAGGCCGCAGCAGCGCTGATCCAGGCAGGCCGAGCCCCAGATGCTTTGACTGTATGCGAGGAGCTGCTCAGCCGAACCTCATCTCTTCTTCCTAAGATGTCCTTGTGGAAAAATGTCAGAAAAAGAACCAAAGAACTGCCATACTGCCCAATCTGGGTCTCTGCCACCCACCTGCTTCAGGGCCAGGCTTGGTCACAACTAAAGGCTAGAAAAGAAGCACTCAGTGAGTTTAGCCAGTGAGTCCAGGAAGACAGAGCACTGGGGAGGTGTGGGAGAATGGCTTTCTGATCGAGACCTTGGTTGGCGGACTTTATTCTTAGTAGTTACCGTAGTTTCTGAGGCCAACTTTTTATTCCTGCCACTTATATCCCATGTCAGGTGTCTTGAGCTGCTCTTTCGGGCCCTGCCTGAGGACAAAGAACAAGGTGATTTAATTTTTATTTTATTTTGGTGTTTTGAGACAAGGTTTTTCTGTAGCTTTTGGAGGATGTCCTGGAACTTGCTCAGTAGACCAGACTGGCAGAGATCTACCTGTCTCTGCCTCCTGAGTGCTGGAATTAAAGGTGTGTGCCACTACCACCCGTCTGTGATTTATTTTAAAAAGAAATTTCTCTTTTGCTTTCTTTATTTTTATAAAACATGTTCTCATATAGACCAGGCTGACCTTAAGCTGACTATTTTAGTCAAGGATAACCTTAGATTCTAGTTCCTCCTGCCTCTACTCCCAATTACTAGTAATATAGATGTTTGCCACCATTCCTGCCTCTAATTTAGATTGTCAATTTTTCTTAACTCCTGAAAGTGGTGTGTGGGTTCCTTTTCCATTGCACCTCAATCCACCAGACTGGGATACTTCAGGGGACATGCTGGGGTATGGTAGCACATACCTTTAATTCTAGCACTCCCAACAGGTAGATCTCTGATTTTGAGGCCATCCTGATTTATATAGTAAGTTCTGACTATGTGGTGAGACTTTGTCACCAAAAAAAAAAAAAAAAAAAAAAAAAAAAAAAAAAATTAGGGAAGACAGGAGGAGGATGGGGACTTGGGTGTTTGGTGACTGTGTCTGGAATGACGGGAAGGTGCTTGCTGACTTTGGTGGTGATTTCTAGGGGCAGGCTCCAACTGTGAGCAGAAGTGTCAGCCTGATGTGGCACTGAAACACCTTCAAGTAGCTGCTCTGCTTAGTCGTGGGCTGGAATGGGTAGCCAGTGGCCAGGATACCAAAGCCTTAAGTGACTTTCTCCTTAGTGTGCAGATATGCCCAGGTATGTACATTCGCATGACGTTGGCTTTGTACAGAAGGGTGGTATTTGGACAGAAATGTAAGGATGATATTCCCAGATAGGAAGATTGAATAGGGTATGTTGTATATACCTAGGAGGTACCCATGTGTACATATGCAAACAAACATGTATGCAAGGCTCCTAAGAGTTCCCTGGTCTCCCTGTTGTCTTCAGACAAAAATGCAGACTATGTGGGGATGGTTTTGTAGGAACAGGGCTAGTTGAACACTTTGTACTGGGCATGGTTATGGAATAATTTAGTTTTGGTTTTTATGTGTGTGTATAGACAAGATGCGTCCTCTTTCTAGGTCTAAAGCTTTATCAGATTCTAAGTCTTTGTACTTTGGGGTGGGGTTATAGGCAACAGAGATGGTTCCTTTTACCTGCTTCAGACTCTGAAAAGATTGGAACGGAGGAATGAGGCCACTGCTTTCTGGAGGGAGACCCAAAATCAACTGCAACAGGGAGAAACCATCTGGTAAGGTTTAGTCTTCCTGGCATGGGGCTGGGGGACAATTGGAATCCTGTAGTGGGGGTGATGAGGGACATACGGAAGGATGTCAAACCTATGTCTATCTTTCACGCTTAGGCATTGCCATTCTTTTTCAGGTCTCTTCCACTGTACTTAGAAACCTGTTTGAGCTGGATCCATCCCCCTAACTGTGAAGCTTTCCTCAAGGAATTTGGAACATCTCTGCTAGAAGTCTCATGAATGACCTGTAGCTTCCTTGTTTCCAGGAGCTTGAGCTAGGGCCCCTATGGACCATCTCCATGGGGAGGGTTTTTTTCTGCTTGTCCTCTGGATAATATGGCTGGAGCTGATTGTTCCTAAGTAACTCCTCCACTGATGAGGTTGGTGGTCTTGTGAATCTTGGCCTACTTACTGCCAGTCTAGTTCTAAAATGGTTCCATGGACAAATCATTGATTTTGGTTATGACACTTTTTTTTCTTTTTCTTTTCTTTGTGTGTGTGTGTGTGTGTGTGTGTGTATATATATATGTATATATATATATATATATATATATATATATATAGTAAAATCTCATATTTATCTCTTATCTGCTTACTACACAGGGTTGAATGGGAAAGCTCATGGCAGACTAGTTGGTGTTGGTTATTTACAATGCTGTTTGTTCAACATCCATCTTCCAGACCTTCCCTGCCTCCTAGGTCTCCTCTTCCCTCCCACCTTCCTTTTGGAAGGTTGGATTCTGGGGACTGAACTCCAAATTCTCACATATAAGTCTACAGTCCCTATCCCTCACCCAGGCCCCACCATCTATCTTAAGAGCTCGAGGTGTGAGTATGAGGAAAAGCCTACATTTATCCTTCTGAGGAAGCAGTGACATAGTCCTTTTAAAATTACTATTAAAACTTTATTTACTTATTTTTAATCATGTGTGTGTATGCCATCCATATGTGTGTGGGTGCCAGTGGAAGCCAGAGGCGTTGGGTCCCTCAGAAGTATTATTACAGGAGATTGTGAACCATCTGACATGGGTGCTGGGTATCCAGCCTGTGTTCTCTTCAAGAGCAATTGCACTCTCTTCACCACTGAGCCATCTCTAGCTCTGTTATTTGGAAGCATAGCTAATAGCTCAAGAATCTGCTAGGTGACAAAGTTAGTCCGGAGAATGTTCTTGACAGGCCTCTTGACAGGAAGAGTGGTACACAGCTTTAATCCCAGCACGCAGGTGGCAGAGGCAGGTGGAGTTTGTAGCCAGCCTGGTCTATATAGTGAGTTCCTGGACAGCCAGGGCTATGCAGAGAGGCTCTGTCTCAAAATAATAATAATAAAATAAAAACAAAAATGAAAGAGAGAGGTGTTTCTTAGAGTAGCTCCATCTCTAGAAACAAACTGTCCCATATCAATCTGTGTGGGTAGGAGGTGAAGGGTGAATTGAATCAGGATGCCACTTGGAGCTAGTAGTCTAATGATTTCAATGAGAGCCAATTAATTGTCTTTTGGGACCCAAGGACCTTAAGTTACAGCCTGAATTTGCTTACACACTGAATTTGCTGTGTGTTCTGCAGATGTTCTTGACCTCCTTGAGCCTGAGTGTTCTCCCTCTACAGATAATATTTATACACTGTGGCAAATATGTATTCCCAAACCCTGAGAAATTGTAAAACATAAGGGATTAGTTAGTAGAGTGCAATGTCAATAGGGCGGTAATATTAAGAGCAGGGGTGCTGGTGACTCAGAACTAGGGTCCAGGGAAAGGGTGACTAGAGTTAGTATTTTTTTGTTAGACCTAGTCTAGCTGTGCAGCATTTGCTGGCTTCAAACTCAACCCTCCCGCTTTTAGCCTGTGGAGTCCTGGCATCTAGAATGAACACCACCATACCTAGTCATTTTTTTTTTTTTAATTTTATTTACTTCGTTTTGAGACGGGGTCTCACTATGTAGCCCTGGCTGGCTGCAACGCTTTTGAGAACAGCCTGATTTAAAATTTAGAGATCAGCCTGCCTCTGCCTTCTAAGTGTTGAAATTAAAAGCATGTGCCACCACACTGCTTTTAAAATTTATTTTTGAGATACTGTTTTGACGCCAGAATTATAGATTTGCGCCATTATGCCCAACCCGGTTTTGTTTTTCAGAAAAGGTCCTGAATCCTGAGTTGATCTCCAACTAATAATCCTCCTGCCTCTGCTTCCCAACTGCTAGGGTTACAGACCTAGCCCATCCACCACGCCCTTCATTGGAGCCAGTGTTTTAAAGGAGTACGAAGGGTTATTGTGGTGGAGTTACAGGATCCCCAGGATTGGCGAGAAATGAACTATGTGGGTTACCCTTACAAGCGGACTAAACTAATAAGGGTTCAAGCCATTGTGTTAGGTTCTTCCAGCAGCTTATAAACTAAGGAGCCAATCAGCTGGAGCCAAGTAGGAGAGGCCTCCTCGGAGGGATTAAAGGCTCTGCTTTTACCAGACAATCTGGCCTTTTACTTTTGCTGATTGGTCAAGAATCCCAATCCGTCGAGGAAGCGTAGTGCTGCGGCCAATTGACGTGGCGTTACTAGGCGTGTTGCAGCCTTGAGGCGGGGCCGGGCCACAGACGAATTTTCTGATTGGTCGTGGACCGCGGGTTGCTGGGGAGAGGCACGGAGAGGCGGGCACGAGTCCCAAGGCAGGCGCTGATTGGCTGGGATGAGAGCAGCTTTCCTTCCGATGATTCGGCTCTTCTCGGCTCAGTCTCAGTGAAGCGTTTGCAGCCGTCGTTTGATTAGTCGCTGCCGCTGCCCCCCTCGCGGATCAGGAGCTAGCGTCTCCCGCCCGTCTGCCGCCCCGGTGCCGCTGGGAGGAAGCGAGAGGGAAGCTGCCTGAGGGTTTGTCACCGCTGTTGATCCACCGCCTGAGTGAGCCAAGCCCGGGCCTCGCCGGTCTCCTGCCATTCTCGTAGCCGTTACCCTCAGGCCGCCACAGCCGCCGACCGGGACAGGCGCGCGCCATGGCCTCTGGAGCCGAGTAAGTGTATGCGCGCGCACGCCCTCCGGCTGCGGAAGCGCGCACCGTGGGACTCGCCGCGCTGGGTAGGCCCGGTCGGGCCGCGTCTGAGAGGCTAGGCCGGGAGGAGAGGGACGGAAGGAGAGGAAAGGGGCGAGTGAGGGCCTCGGGCCGGACTGTGCACCCGCGCGCCCCCTAGGTCGGGCCCGCGCTGGGCCCGGGTCTGACCTGGGCAAGATGGTGCTGTGTCATGCAGGCCTCGGCCGGCCTGGCTAGCTCCCTCGGCACGGCGGCCCCGGCCTACTTAGGCCTTAGGGTCCACGCTGCCGGCGCGGAGCCCTTTGGAGCTGGGAAGCCCTTCGCCCACTCCACTGACCGCACGCGGAAGACCCTAAGCCCGCGAAGAGAAAACACTGCAAGCCGGAGGCCCAGACTGGGCCCAGTGGGCGTGGACTTTGAGCCACGTGAAGGCCTCAGGAGCCCTGAGCCTCTGGGGAAGGCCGGGCCGAGCAACCTGGGGGAAGCCAGGTCGGCCTTGGTGGAGGGGTGGGCCTTGCCCGAGGTTGGCGTCTTTTGCACCCTAGGTAGTGAGGGCCTGTTAGGTCGTGCTTTTCTCAAATGGCAATTTTTTTTTCACCATGTTAGGCCTGTTGTAAATACCAGGAAGCTTTACCTATTATTTTTATTATTATTATTTTGGAGTGTTTGAGGGTGGCTGGAAAGGTATTTTTCTATTTTTTAAGGTGCTGAAGTTAGAATCTGAGTTTGTTTTGCTTTCTGTATTTTGGCTTTCACAGACTGCAGGTTAGAGTTGGCTTAACTCTTAAATAACTCTTAAACACACACACACACACACACACACCTTCCCCAAGCAGCTACGATCAGAGATTGTCTGGGCCTTAGGATTTTAGAGCCCCAACTTGATCTTTTAGGAAAGCATCAAATGAAACCTGGTCACTTCGTCCTGTTCAGTTTAGAAACTAGAGCTTCCTATACAGAAAACAAAAACCAGCAAGCCTAGGAAACTATTTTATACAAATCTCGATTTCTTTCTTTTCTTTCTTTTTTTTTTTTTTTTTTTTTTGAGGCAGCTGGGTGTTTTTAAGTTTCATTTCCTTGAGATGAGGTATTCACTCATTTACTTAGTTAAAAGGACTAATGTTTAAATAACCAGGGTGGGTGGGGTGGTGCATGCCTTTAATCCCAGCACTTGAAAGGCTGAAAGTTCTAGGCAAGCCTTGGATTTCCTGGGCTACTTAGACCTTACCTCAAAAAAAAAAAAAAACAATAAAATATACTTTTAAAATATTTTGTGATATTTTACCTTTGTTTTATTTTTCTTAATTAAAAATTTTGTTTGTTTTTAGAGACAGGGTTTCTCTGTGTATCCCTGGTGGTTCTGGAACTCACTCTGTAGACCAGGCTGGCTTCGAACTCAGAGATCCACCTGCATCTGCCTCCCAAGTGCTGGGATTACTGTCCATGCTCCACCATTGCCTAGTGTAGACCAGATTTGCCTCAAACACACCATGCAGTCAAGGCTGTTTTTGAATTCCTGGTCTTTCTGTCCCCTATCCCCAAAGTAATGGGATTTATAGGAAGGCATGCCCCACTGGCATCATAGGTGCTTTCTACCTTTAGGTTCTTCCCTGAACTTCTTCCAAGTTCCCTTGTGTAGTCTTTATGTTCTGGAAAGGACCTGAATCATGCACACGATGGGAGAATAAACATTTAGAGCTGCATTTGCTCTCAGCTTTGTTAGAGGTTACCAGCTCTAATCTCCATGGGTAGTTGAAGTACAGGTCTTTAAGAGCTATACCACTCATCTCTAGAGCCATGGTCTGGACTCATGTCATGAAATGCAGTTTTATTTCTTTCTTCCTTTCTTTTTTTCCTTTCCTTTCCTTCCTTCCTTTCTCTCTTTCTTTCTTTTTTCTATACAGGTCCAGATAGGGTCTCTGTATGACATCCTGGCTGTCCTGGTACTTTGGAGACTAGGCTGGCCAATGCTAAGTGTTGGGATTAAAGGTGTTCGCCACCATGCCCCACTTCTAAAATGCAGTTTTGAGATTAAAACAAAATGATAACTTGAAGTATTATCATCAATTCAGTCTTGTAAATAAAATAAGATGAACAGCCTCTGGGGGGGGGGGAGGCATTTTGATAGATATGGTGGATTTACACTTTTATTTTGGGAACCTCAGCAGCATTGTGGCCAAAGTGGCATACCCTTTGAGTTGAGGAGGCAAGTTGGAGTTAAGGAAACTACTCTGGGAAACTAGTTTATCCATATTAAAGATGTAACATAGCTGAGTGTGGTGATGCATATGCCTGCTTTCAGTCAAGAGGCAAAGACAGGATCACTGCAAGTTGAAGGTCAGCTTGGTTTACATAGCTAGACAGGGCTATATATAACAAGACCCTTTATTAAATAACAAAAAAGCCAACAAAAATAGTCTATAAGTGAAGGTAAGCTATTTCCATTGACAGTGCTTTTTTGTTAGATTTTGCTGTCTCATCTCAGTTTCTAGAACAATGTGATGCTTTGTAGATACTCATTTATGATTACTACTGTTATTGAAATAATCTTGCTATGCTGCTTAGGCTGGTCTAGAGTCTCCTGGCAATTACTGAGGTACAGGCATGAAGTGCTATACCTGCCTTTTATTATTAATTTGTTGCAGAAATGGTTGTTTCTCCCCTTCATTTACTTTTTTCCATTGTTGACCTCTTCTTTGGGTGGGAGGGGGCTAATACTCATGTTTCTCAAACCTTGGAAGAAAAGTGTTTGGTTTTAAAGAGATAATGTTTCACTATATAGCCCTGGTCTGGAACTCTGTATGCAAAATTGGGCATCAAATGCATGGATATCTATTAAAGGCTGTGTAACTCTTCCTGGCCAGAGATAAATTTTCAAAGGGGGAGTCCACTGAGTCCATTAAGTAAA